ATATCTACCTATGCAACGCTCCTGCCGGATCTGCTGTGAGGGAATTGCATCTTCAGGAGGGTTTGGGGGGATACTGAGTTGATTTCTTGTCCTCCTTTTCCTGCCTCAAAGAGGAAACGAGCTTTAATTATTGCCAAGTTGCCTGCTGGCAGGGCCGGGTGGTTTTCCCTGGGCTTCGGGAGCCGGCTAATTAAACAGCCTGCTGCAGCGTGTGGGGTCGCGCGGGTCTGCAGCCGTGGATCTGCGAGTGGAGGAGAGAGTTTGGTCACTGCACGGCGCGGTCTCGCCTCCCTCAGCCTTGTCGTTACGGTCGGGAACCTGGCCAGTGTATCCCAGTGTAACTGGGGCGCGCGATGGGCTGGTGTGGCCGCTGGTAGAGGAGCGTGTTGGGTCTCTCGGGGATGGGAGCTGGGTTGAAGCAGCAACGCGGGGAGCTCTGCCCCCTCCCAAAGCTGCTGAAGTCCTGGTTCATCTCCTGGAACGACAGCTCAGAAACAGAGAAAACTTCTCCCCGGGTCCTTCCCCGCCCCACGGGACCCCGGCCACCCCACGGCCGGTCCCCAGGCTCCGCGTGTTCCCCCCATCCCACTTGGTAGGGGATTAAATAGCACGAGTTGCGCAGAATTTGTAACGGTGAAAGGAGAGAGGGGGGAAGCCCTAGTAATTATTCATAGTAATTTTCTTTTTTTCTGTTTAAACGATGAATCGGAAGCCAAGCGGCGTCTCTTCAGGGCTGAGAGCCTGAATCCACCCCAGGCTGCTCTGGAGGGAGGGTGGTGGGAGATATCGCCGCGTCCTCACCAGGAAAGCCAGATTTACTCATTTCCATGTGCATAATAATGCAATTAGAAAGTCAGCCTAAACCTGCGGTGCAGACAAAGAAACAAAGCGGCTTCGTAATTAATCACACGTGTAAGAATAAAGCCCGTTACATTAGGGTTCATTATTTGGTGGATTAATTAAAAAAAAAAAAAGAAAAGAACATTTTGCAGAAAATGTGGGGTTAGGCTGCGAAGCCCGTCCCTGGAAGGAGCTGGTAGGTGCGTGGCAGCTCCTGCGAGCTGGCACACGCCCCCCCCCCCGCCCCGTGCTGTTGACACTTTTCCCGTTCTTTGGGAACTGACAAAACGCTTTGCAAATCGACACGGCAGAAGTGATAAATACTTTAAAATCCAAAGTCTCATTAAGCGGAAGCGGAGTGACAGGTTCCAACACCCCTTCCCACTGCTTTTTCGCTAAATCCTCATTTGCATTTAAATTACAAATGTAATTTGGGCCAGAGTTTGAGCTGCTGGGCTATTAAAATAAAACTATATCTTGATGACCGGCAGCGGAGGGACGCCTCGGGTGCTGGCGGTACGGTGCGGCGGCTCGTGGTTACCGGGGCTTGGAAAATCGCCGCAGTTTAGGGCTTGGGATTGTGGGAAGGTGAGTTTTTCCCACTGCGGGATGGTTTTCAAAACTTGGATTTAGATGCGGTTCCTCTCCCACTGCTCCCCAAAACACCGCCCCGAGCCAGACCCCGCTCGTTTCCAACGCCCAAGAGTCAAAGGAGAGCTGGAAGCTGCTTGCTGTCTCTTACTATATTTTATTTATATTTTTTTAGAAAGCACAATTCCTATACAGAAATGCCATCAAAAGCCCAAAATCCCGAGGGCTGGAGCTGGAAGTGCTGGCTGA